GCAGAGGAATACCACGAAATATCGTAACTGACAACGCGAAAACTTTCAAATCGTTTTCTAAAACACTTCTACAACTGTTGAATTCATCTAATGTAAAATCGTATCTTGCTGAAAAGCGCGTCACATGGAGTTTCAACCTTGCCAAGCCCCTTGGTGGGGTGGATTTTACGAACGTCTGATAAAGGGTGTGAAGAGCTGTTTGAAGAAGACAATCGGTACATCGAAACATTCGTACGACAAGCTACATACCGTAATCGTTGAGATAGAAGGCGTATTGAACTCGCGTCCACTGACATATTTGTACCCAAACGACCTTGAAGAGCCACTCACGCCATCGCATTTACTTGCAGGCCGTGGACTGCTTCAGTTACCAGTTGACACCGAAGCGAAGGAAGATTCCAATTACAACCAATGCGCTAAAACAACCCAACGTAGGGCCCGAGTTGTATCAATGCTGATTCACCATTACTGGAAGAGATGGAAGGGAGAATACCTCCTAAATCTACGCGAGTATCATCACATGACGTCGGGAAGGACGAGTTTGTTACCCGTCAACGTCGGAGATATAGTGACGATTCACGACGAGCAAATTAGAAATCGAATGTTCTGGAAACTAGGACGCGTAGAAAAACTTCTTAGAGGGAGCGGTAACGAGGTCAGAAGAGTAAGCTTACGTCTAGCAAACGGCAGCGTGATAGAGCAACCACTTCAAAAAGTATATCCGATAGAAGTCACCGCAGAAGAACTCGAATCCAAACCACATGCAGAAGAAAACAAAATCGCGGAAATCGATCGACCTAAGTGTATAGCCAAGACCGTAGCTAAAGAAAGACTGGCAATCATTGACCAGCTTGAAAACGAACCCTTTATAAGACAGAGTGCGCTGGTCAAGGGGGGAGTGTGGGAAAAAGTGGCCGCTAGCCCCTGACCCTTGCTTTCTTCTTGACCTTTCCTTTTTTATTTACAAGCTATCTTTTATTGAGTTGAATTTTTGTATAATTTTGATTGACGCTGATTGCTGCATGGCTTTTAAATCGACGTGATCCAAGAGTGGAATGGAAGTATAAAGAAATTTGAATACATTCAAGAAATCGAAGCAAGATAAGAAAGAACTCTGAGGTAAACTATGAACTCTTATTTACTAAACGATGAACACAACTATGAACCCTCAAGAGCGAACAAGGAAGAAATCGTGAATTTTATGCTTTAAATTACTTTATCTTTTTGAGTTAATATATACAGTCCTCTTATATTTAATCTTTCCTTTTGTTTTATTGAATCTTTGGAACATTTTGAACCCATTGGTAATTCTAATCCTTCAGCCAGAGGGGCGTATCTAGTACCTCTAGCCCCGAAATTGAACCTACGAAGGATAATTTCTACACATATTGCTTGGCAATTTCCTTGTTGTGCTGTAAGTCGTCTACGTGTGCAAACAGACTTTTTTTGAACAGGGAATAACTGTCCGGGAGAGTTCCCTCTTTGAACAGCAACTTGACCTCATATCGGCCATCAATAAATTTAATTTCATCGT